TTTTGTCGTCTCCGAAGTGTCACCCGGAGGTAGCGGGGGTAGGGATCGAGTACTCGTGGGGGTTTTCCAAGCAGAAGTTTCGGCGGAAGATCAATGATGAGGTCCCGAAGCACTTGCACGACAACATCGAAAAGTCGCTGTGCATAGACAAGTGCTTGACAATCGGTCGGGTGCGGCGCTTTGCCCGGCGGACACGAGACTACTGCCGGGCTTACCGCGAGATTGCGCTTCGCGGGGTAGTCATCAGGAACAAGGAGTTCATCGAGAAGATGCGCAAGATCCAAAAGGCCCACCGCAACATTTTGGACATGGAAACTAGTTTTCTTGGCGACCAGTAACAACGTCGGCCGGCCGATGGCGAGGGGGGGGGTCTCGAGTTGTATGTGCATGTTTTGTTTTATGCTGTGAGAGAAGCGGGTGTTGTGTGAGCTGGGTGTGTGTTGTCGTTGTAGACTAGATTGTAGTCGGTGGCATGAACTTGTACATTGGATTTTTCTTCTGCGAGATAAACGGGTGTGGTGGGGGTGTGTGTTACACGAGTCGGTTTCAAGCTGTAGTTTGCATCATTTTTTTCTGTAAGATTAACCGGTGCGAGAGGTTGTGTGTGTGTGTTGATGAGTCTGTCACTTTGAATGTTGTTTTTAGATAAGCGAGTGTTTTTTAACCGCTGTCAATCAACGAACGAAGTGCTTTTTTTTTATGTACAAAGAAACGTCAACTTTTGTGCGATTTGTGCAAAACATTTGTCATGCGTTTTTGGAGCGCTTACCTTCAGATTACAACCTCTTGCATGTATGTGTGTCACGTCATTACGATCGATAAGCACCCACACCTACCTGTCCAACCAAAGGGGTACAGTCAGCATCTGTGCGCCTCTTGCCATCAGGCCGCTTTCGCGCCCCTTTTCTCGGGCTGTTAATCGCTTCTAACCATTTCGTTGACTTCTTGGCTGGCCCAGCTTGTACGTACTAAAGGTGTTTGGAATAAGAGTGAAATGGCTTGACTTCGGTCTGTTTTTTGCCCCGAACAGCCTTATTATCCGACGGCGGGGTCCAATTTTGGTGTTCGGCCTTCAAGTTTGCTGAATTGCCCTCGAAGATCAGTGAAACCTCATCAACGACACGCCTCTATCGGCGACCACGTCAACAGCAGTAGGCCATAATAATGAGAAAGTTCTCCCGTGCCCTTCGCACATTTAACGACATGAAATTACACAACATAACATATATGAGACACCACGCAAGTCAGCTACCAAACTGATTTTTTTTTTGAGCCTGTCACCCGCAAGGGAGTTGTCCCTACAGTCGACCCCGCTTTAAAGACACACCGCGTTTTTTTTTTTTGAGTGTCTTTAACGCGGGGAAGTGTCTTTGGGATTCCGCGGCCACTAACTCACCGTCCCCGGGGTCAATGGAGGTGTAACATGTGTCAAAATACGCGCATTTGAAGCAGGAATGCGACCACGAAATTGTGCTGCTTAAAAACTGCGACAACACGTCAATTGAAGGCCGCAACACTACTACTGCTGCTGTACTCCAATACTGTACATATTTTTGAATTTCCCTCCACCACCGAAACGCGGGAAGGAGTACAGCACGACCTATTGTAATGTGTACGGCAGTGTGCGCTGGTGTTGTTGTAGGCTTTTCTTATTGTCAAGGCGTTGTCCTCACGGTGAACATCATGCCCGTGATATCGCGAACACACCTGAGACACATCAGTTTGTTGGAACTAGCTCTGATACGATACACGCAAGTTACCTGCCACGTAGGGACCAAACAAACCCAGTCGACCCTTTAGAGGGATCTGAGGGACACTAGGAAACGGTCGGTAGCGCAGACCACAACATACAAAAAATCGGGCAAACCCACCGAAAAGAGAATAAATACCGCTCTTCCCCAAAGGTCAACACGAGGCAAAAACACAAAACAAAAAATGCCAAAATTTAATTCCACGAGAAAGGCAAAAAATTCCCAAACAATGACACGAGTTGAGACTTTTGCTGGCACGTGGGTTCGCCACATGGCCTCAAGCCGGCAGCTGACGACCCGCCAGCAGATGGGAGGAATCTCTCCATACCCACACGCAGTAGTGCGGGCTGCAGCAGACCGCTGTCGATGTTACAATGCCTTACAGATTTGCTGCCCCAGCAAATTTTTTTGGGGGGGCCGCATAGTGGAAACGCTACCCCCCTATATTATTGTACATCTGCGGGGCACCATGTTCTGGGGGAAAAATGTGTCTTTATAGCGGGGAGTTTCCTTAGTTAGGAAGAGTGTCTTTAAAGCGGGGACGACTGTGTATGCTGTCTAGGAAATCGTGGGCATACAGACAGGTAGTTTTCTCCGACGCTATGATTCCATTGTTAATCTGTCTCTGACTCTTTTCTATGATAAAGATGGACTCGTTGTGTCATATATATATGAGACTTCCTTTTTTTTTTTTTTGGAAACGGTCAATCACCACTAACAGCATACAGTATTGTATTGGTGAAATTGAGAGCGAAGCATCTGATTGAGAGCGAGATTGCGCGATGCGCTGCAGCTGGACTACTGCTGAGAGGTGGAGCTTGCTGTGTAGCTTGAATTGAAGAGCCAGCCCGTAGCTACAAGCAGATACCCTGGTCATCCTGTGGGAGTCTCTCGATGTGGAGTTACAGCGGCGAGCAGAAGCTACAGCAGAGCCCACCGCCCAAGGCCAAACCGCCCTGCAACAGTTTGAGGCAGGAATAGCCAATCTGAGGAAATCTAGCAACTTGTCTAGCTCCTAGCTGTAGCATCCGATGACGATGATACGCATATGCTCGTGACGCTGGTGATGAGATCTTCAATTTGCGCCGCTTCTTGGAAGAGCCCGCCCCCTACTTCACAAGAAATGGCAAGAGGCGTCTGGACCCGAATTGTAAGTTTTTTGGCTCTCGCTCTCAATTTCATGCTCGCTCTCAATTTCACCAATAATATCTTGTTCACTCCGGTGTGCCCGCACATCAGTCGCACATACTGTTTTCTCGCGGCGTCGTATGTGCCGGGTTACGACACCACGGGCTCCCATTTTTGTGCTAGAGCTAATAATGTGAGAAACAACAACAGCAACAACAATTCCGCACATACATATGCATACCAATCTGAAAATACGTTTGTAAACTGATGGAGATTGCATGCCCGACAACTAACAGGGTGCGACACACAGAACGCCCGACTAACCAACAGTATACCCAAAACCTTCGTCTGCCTTCCCAACATAATAACATATATGAGACACACAAGACAGCTACCAAACTGATTTATTGAGCCTGTTATCCGCAGGGGAGATGTCCCTATACGCTGTCTGGGAAATCGTAGGCATGCAGGTAGTTTTTTCTGACGCCATGATTCCATTGTCAATCTGTCTCTGACTCTTATCAATGATAGAGATGGACTCGTTGTGTTATATGAAGAAAAAAAAAACGAAGACCATTTTGGTCTTGGCTCAGTTTGATCTTTGTGGGCAAGTTTCTGGCAAGTTTCCTTTTACCCCGAAGCACCAGCAGCACGCGAACTTGCGAAGGCATTGCGCGATTACGCCCGCGCAAGCCTCATGGTGACTCCGTCGGGGTACCGGAAGACCGTGAGGCAGACGGCTCTTCACCAGAGGGCTGGTGCGATGTACGCGGCGGACATGGTGGAGCTCAGTTACTGGAACACAAGCATCTGTTTCCACCTCCTCTTCAGGGACGCTGTGAAGCACCCGGAAATGCTCCTCGAGTACGGAGAGGAGGGGGCTGCGGATGGACACAGCGAGGCAGAGAATGAGGCCCGCTTCATGGAGTTCGGGATGCTTTATGCGAACTGGTGTTTTTTGCCATGCTCAACTAATTAATAATGCTGTTGTTGCTGTGTGTGGAGTGGGTGTAGGATCGCTGTTGCATTGTGTAGGGTGTGTCTATCAGGCCAGAGAATTTGAAAATTTTCATGTGCCCACCACTGGGGTCCGTGAGCGTTTAATGTGGTACCCATCAGGATTTTCGCCCCGAAAAAGACCGCAGTACCCGTTCTGCTCTTCGCATACCCTTTCAAGACCGATTCGGTTTTGGCTTTAGTCTATTGTGCAGTGCTGACGACTGAAAACGAAAAAAAGTAAGCGGCGGGACAAAAAATATCGGTTTACACAGAAGAGCAGCACGACCGGCGTACATCCACCCAAGGCTAAGGGTTTTCAGCAGTGGACTATTCCAATAGCTATCTACGGAACCAAGATTTGCCGAATTCCGTCCACTGCTGTAGGCTTCAAACTTGTCGGCGCAACAGTAGTGGACTATTCCAATAGCTATCTAGGGAACGAAGATTTGCCGAATTCCGTCCACTGTAGGCTTTAAACTTGTTGTCGGCGCAACCCGCAGCCCGTGCCCGAAAAAAACGTGCCGACGGTATCTAGGCGGCGCAACCACGCTGCTGCTGTGCACCCGCAAAGGACACCAAACGCGAGAACGCGCCCACCACAGCATCAATCGCCACAAAAATTTGATGGAAGACGGAGTGAGCGCCAGATAATAGATTGCATAAGAATTCAACTTGATTGGTGCGGAGGATCGAGAGGTAGGCACGAATGAAGTTGAAAACTTGCGTTCGCATACAGGCACCGTGCTAAGGGGTATTATTATCAGGCCAAAAAAATACGTATTCGGTTACGAAACCGTACTTCCTTGAAATACATCGAGGCGTTCCTCTACGTTTTTTCCGTAAAAAGAGCGAAGCGTATTATATTTATTTTCTGGGCATGCTCCTTTTACTGTTCTGTGAAAAGTTTCCAGCTTTTTTCGACGACCCGAGCAGACAGACGCCGGTCACGCGTGCTGTCTTCATCACACCACACCGCGTAGCGATGGCGGGGGGTACCGGATACCGGGGCGGGCAGGAGAGCGACTGGGTGTATCGCCTAGGAGAGGACCTCGTGGCGTTTGGCATGAAAGAGGAGAAGGAGGGGGGGAGATGGAAAGAGAGCGCCAAGGACCAGGAGGCGTGGTACGACAAGATCGAGGACGGGGCGGCATGGTTCATGAGGAAATGGCACAGACAGGAGGCGGAAGCATCCGCGAAGCGCCAGCGCCAGCGCGCGGAGGAAGCAGAGACGGAGAGCACGGCCGCCCCGGGCCCGAAGAGAAAGAGAATCGGGGAAGCGGCGGGGGGGGGGAAGAAACGGCGACCGGACACTGCTGTAGAAGCGAGTAGGGCGGCCAAGGCCGCGCTTGCGGCGAACGACGTACCCAACTGATGATGTTGTCGCACCCTGTGTTCCCTTTTCCCTGCCGTAAGCTGTATGCTCTTAGTATTGCCTCCGGCCTCTCTTTGTGCTTTTCTTCTTTCTTTCTTTCTTGTTCTCCATGCCCTCTCTACGATGATCTTGGACGATACCTCGAGCTCCTTGTTATTTTTGTTTTTTCCTTTGCTGGCTGCCTGCCACCTCTGCTGCCTCTTTGGTGCGGTGCCTACCCTACACTAATGCGCTGGTGCATACTGCACTGCTGTAGTACCTGGTACTGGTGTACGTTGTCCTTCGATTTTTTTATTTTGTGGGAATAATACATGTATACATGTGTTTGTTTTTCGCCCCCCGTCTTGCTGCACCCCCTGGGGTATGGTGCAGGGCGGGGGATGCCTGTCTACAACCCATGTATAAGCAAAAGCTTGTCGAGGAGCGAGGGGAAGAAGGGAGAGTTACTGTTCGGTGAAAAATTTCCCGCTTTTTTCGACGACCGGAGCAGACACCGGTCACGCGTGCTGTCTTCATCACACCACACCTAGACAGCACCACCAACACCCCAAACCGCTTCCCGAGGCAACTCCACTACCATGGCTGAGCGCCGGAAGCGCCAGCATCCCCAGGGGCCCGCAGCGCAACGCCGGGAGAAGCGCCGTCGAGGAGCTATCGACGAGGTCGGTGCAGCCCAGGAACACAGGAGATCTCTCACAGTCCTGGGTCTTCTGTAGTGGCGGCGAGCGTGGTGGCAGCGGGAGAAGCTCATCGTGCCCACCGCCCTCAGGAACGGGAGCCCATCTACGAGCCCAAGCGGCTTCCGTGGGCCCAACACGAGGCGGACCTCGATAAACGGCAAGGCTGGCGGCGGTCGTACCGCATGGTGAAGGCCAGCTTCCACAGGCTTGTCGAGCTACTACGCCCTTCGCTGGCAGTCAACGCCTTCTTCGGCGGTGAGTGTTGATGTGTAAATGCAGCCGCCCACGGCAGGTATGCGTAAGGCTTCCTCTCATGTATACGTAAAGAACAACGGGGAAGAGCAAGTCTAAAACCCAGGAGAAACACTACTGCTGTAGACTGCCTTGCTGTTTGTCTGCCATCTTCTTAAAAAAACTCCCTCATCGAAACATGCAGCCAGGGTATGCATACACACAGCAGCACTATTCTACAGCAGTAGGTACAGCAGTGTCTGCATATGCATACAGCAGCAGTCGTTGTATGGGAACGACATGAAGGTACTATGGTGGCGCTGAAATAAGTTCAGCAGTATGAATAGAGCGTGCAACACACGCCGGCACCACTATACGTTATACATGCCTCGTCGGGAGCCTACACAGTTTGTCGTATCCCGCAACAATAGCATAAAAGTGTCGACATGTGCTCTCATATGCATATGCGAGGTTGGTTGTGGGTTCCGTGAAGAACACAGAGCCGTCTCACAACCCTAGTCGGAAGGTGTATTGGGCGGGTACTCTGGCGAGTTTAACGATGACATGCGTCCTTTGACGCTGGCGATTGCAAACACACCCCCTATGACACTGGTACATATTTCCTGACCGACACACGCTCATCCTTCGAACATTATCTGCGCGTCGCTCCGAAACCCCACAGCACTGCGATCGCCAATCAACGGCGCCATAGCTGTAGAAGTCCGCGTTGCCGTGGCGTTGAGGATCCTGGCTGGCGCTAGTTACTGGGATGTTGCCCTCATGTTTGGCTTGTCGGTGCCGACCACGTACCAGATCTTGTGGTCGGTGATCGACGCCATCAACAAGACGCCTGCGGTTGGGGCATTCGACTTCCCCCTGACCGAGGAAGGCTGCATGCGAAATGCCAACAGATTCAAGGTGAGGCCTAGCGGTGGTCATTACTGCTGCTGTGGGTTATTCTTGGCGGCATTCTCTTGACCAGCCGCGGGATGTTTTTTTTTTAATTACGTCTGGCGTTTCCAGCCGTTTTAGTGTAGGGAGGCCTATACACAGCCTTCGACAGTAGCGCAGGAAAAAAAAAGTCGTCCCCGGCGGATACAAGTTCGGATTGTCATCGTGGTCAGCATGCCTTTAATCGAAAAACAACCCCCGGGTCCTGGGTGGTTCGCCAGCTGTTGGTCTTTGTACAAGTGGCCTTTTTACAAATACATGTTTCTTTTTTGTGTCATCATTAGTTTATGCTGGCCGTGTTGGTTCCGCCCCGCAACAGTGGCCCGGCAACTGCTTTTAGTCAACCACGTGGCTCTGAGATACCCTGGTACATTTTTACCGCTGAACCTGACGCAATATTAGGATAGCAAACACGGTATGTGCACCGTTGCTGGTGATGGCGCCGTCGCACACGACATCAACCCACACAACGTACAGCCGAACGCAATTTACCGAAGTTCGTCAACGTCCATCTTTCGACCAATTTTTATCCCCTTCCCGGCACTGCTACTTTCCCGCCCTCGTGTCTGCCGTCTACAAATGCAGGAGAAGAGCACCGATGGCATTATCTGCTGGGTCGTCGCCGCCGTGGATGGTCTGTTCATCAAGGCCAAGGCTCCGTGTGCGAAGGACACCGCCAACGTCATCGCGATCTACTCCGGCAGCAAGTCCGCGTACGGCATCNTCGATCTTCCCTCGCCAAGGCCGCCGCCCGCTTGCCCGCCGGATTTCACATCATTGGTGACGCCGCCTACCCCATCGGAGAATAGCTTCTGACGCCGTACCCTGGGAGGCTCCTGCCGCCGGGTGAGGACTCGTTCAACTTCCACCTGAGCCAGCTTCGTGTCAAGATCGAGCAGAGCTTCGGCATCCTGGTTTCGACTTGGGGCGTTCTGTGGCGACCTCTCCGTGTGCAGTTCGGAGGACGCGCGGATCTCATCAAGGCTCTTTTTCATGTGCACAACTTCCTGCAAGACGAGAAGCAGTGGAGGCCGGACTACAACCGTCGGAGGAATTCGTAAACACGTATCCAGCTCGCATCGCGTCGCGTGCGAACAAGCGGGAAGTGGGGACGGGTCTACATAGGGGCGGATGGAGGCGGATCGGGGGGAAGGTCGCTACTACAAGCGGGCGAGAGGCGCGGCGGGGGGGAA